ATAAATAAAATTCAGACACAATGCTTACCAAAGACATTGCATACGTTATTTTGATAAAATGCAAAAGTCAGAACCAAAGAATAGTGGAATGGATCTAAAAATGCAAAGGAAGACTAGTATAACTGCAAAAACAGGAAGACTGGGTACTCAGGATGTCTGAGATGAGCAATTCTACATAAAATTTCCTTATTTTTTCCATATAATACCTACTTTTATACATTTGCAATAGCATTTCTCTCAGCACAGTTTACTAGTTTCAACTACACCTGCTGAGATGATTTTTTTCCAGGTTTTTCTGTTCTTTGTAATGTTAAAAATGCTTTTGAGAGTCACCTCTGGGATAAATTCTGAGATACATAGGACATATAGAATCAGAGAATCATAGAATAGATTGGGTTGGAAAAGACCTCCAAGATCATCAAGTCCAACCCCTGATCCAACTCTAATTACTATATCATGGCACTAAGGACCATGTCATAGATATATATGAATTCCAAAACTCATTTTTCATCCACTTTTATTAATATGTGAGACATGAGCATATCAGAGGTAGTTTTAAGAGGTGCTTACAGGTTGTGCCATGTACAAAACATAAAACCAGTTTGGTTCTTCTCATACCCAAACACTTTTCATTAGTTTAGGGCATGGTTGTGAAAAGAGAATGTTTATGGATGTAATGTTGCAGACTGGAGCTTTAAACCTTTAATTGTGAACTGCTAAATGAAACTGAGAGATTGCCTCTAGGTCCCTGCCTGGTTTTAATCACAAAGTCTTATTCTGTGGTTGTCCTATTCTAACCATTTCTGCTTTTCCACTCTCAGCGTTTCTGCTAGTTGTTTGAGTGGGGTGAGAAACTAGATGTGCTTTGTTCTGAGCCCAGCTTAATGTGATTACATTTCAGAAGTATCATGAAATTCACAAAATAAAAGTGCAAATTCCTGAACCTGGGATGAGCTGACACATGCAGTGGTGTAGTCTGGAGACTGAGCTGCTTTAGTAGCAGCCCTGCTGAAAAGGACTGGGGTCTTGCTTGACAATATGCCCAACATGAGCCAACAGTGTGCCTTGGCAGGAAAAAAAAGCCAACAGCATCCTGGACTGAATTAATAAGAGTCCTGCTACTGATTATTCCCCTTTTCATGGCATTTATTAGACAGCACATGTAAACCTCTATCCAGTTTTGTAACAACAAATACAAGAAGGATGAAGGCAGACTTTGACCGGGGTGTGTAGCAAGATGCTGCCAAGAGTTAAGAGCTGGAGCAACTGACCTGTAAGGAAAACCTAGAGGATTTGGGCTTGATGAGCCTGGGGAAGAGATGTTTCAGGGAGGACCTAACAGAAGCCTGACAGTGTTTACTCAGGGGTTAAAAGGAGACAAGCTTTTCACTGGGGGAAAAAATGTAGACTGGAGCAGGGAAGGTCCTAACTGGATTCAAAGACACATAAAACCAAAGATCTCTGAAGATAATTAAACATTTAATTAGGTTACCCACACAAGTAATGGAATCTCTTTGTTGGAAGGTTTTCAAGACCCGACTGGACAAAGCCCTGAACAATGTGGTCTGAATTCGGTGCTATTGGACTGAAGACCTCCCAAGGCCATTTCCAACTTGAATGTTTCTGTATTTAAACACAACTAACAAGTTTGGATTCAGCTAGGAAACAGGAAACACACTTCTCTTTAAATAGTTGAAGAAATCCTTTATTTCTCCATTTTAAAAAGCATGCTTTGGAAAAAGTCAAAATAGCATGACCTGACAGCCAAGAAGGAGACTTTTATAAAGATGAGAGGAAAATAAACAGGCAAGAAATTGCTAGGTTTTACAGCATCATCCTGTTACCCAAATGCCATCTCAGCACTGTAGCTGATGTGGTCCCTCTGAAATGTGTTGTGTAGTATAAGCAATAGCTGAATTTTGCTGTTGCTGTTGTGACTTGTGCCTTTGCTTCCTTTTTAATTTGGTGGATATTGTCAGTCCTAGAAACCTCCCTTCAGTAAGAGCCCAGGGTCAGCTTTCTGTCCCTGAGGATGGGTTCATTCTGGTAGTTGGTTTCTTCAGAGGCTCCTCCACTGTGCTCTTGCTCTGCCATCCACAGTTCAAACATATGGGGTAGATTTCCCTCCACACAGCTTTACTACAGATGTCCCCAGTACAGACTTCCTTATCTGAGTTGGTCAACTTTCATGAAAGTGTCTTATGATCAGTGTAAATACAAAATTTAGAGATCTCTACCTACTGGTTTAGACTTCTGCATCAGAAGCCATCTAACCTAGTGCATGTATCTGCATTTATCAGAGGGGATATTCCCACAGCTCCCACCTCAGCTAGAAGACAAAAGCATGGTCAGTTGTGCCATGGCATCTATATAGCACTGCCATGCAATTTATGGCTACTGGCAAGCTAAGTTAGAATTAAATCAACATGCAAGAGAAGAAGAAAGTATTTGTAAGCCACTGGCATTCTCCTACACAGTCCAGTTCCCACTGATGATGAGCTGTGCCAGTTACCTCTGCAGTAACGCTACACTGTGGACCCAGCTCAGCCTTCAGCCTAGTTCATGCTCTTATGACAAACAACAGATGTTTCCACTGATCTTTGCTGTGTCATTTGTGCTGGATTTTCCTGACAAAATTAAATATTGTAATTAAATATTTTCTTTCCATTTTTATTAATTTTTTGAATTTATGTTTCTTGCAACATCAGCAAATTAACTCAGCCATTGGCATACACTCCTTTTCATTCCAGTCTCACCACTGCAATCTTACAAATACTGTGAAAACTAGGTAATTTTTCTTCTGTCTTAAAGCCCTAAGGAACATTACAAAGCACTGTGTGATTTGTATGCACCTCTCAAATGACAAACTATGAAAACATTTCTCAGTTGAAAAGTAAAATTGTGCCTCCATGTTCTTCCAGTGGTCCACCCTGTAAACTTTTTCTAAAAAAAAACCAAACAAACAAAAAACAAAACAAACAAAAAAACCAAAACAAAAAAAAAAAAACACCACACAACCAATAAAAACCAGTTTTGCCATTTTACAGAGGGTCAGGGTCAAGATTAGAACTATTCTTGTATATTATTCTGAATAACAGTGGTTAAAATAAGGATTTTCCATCACTTAAGAAAATCATAAGGGAAAAGGAATTTTAAAACTTTTTTAAAAAACATTAGGAAACTTTTTGGATAAAAGTATATGCTGGTAAAAGATGGGCTTAGAAAAGACTGCTGAAGGTGACAGTACGGCATAAAGGAGAAAGTTGCTTTTTTCTTGTAGTGAGACCAAGGTTTTACTCTTTTTTGTTGAAATGAAAGTACTGAAAATAGCCCCAAAATCTGGGTAAAGAAGATAAATACAAGACCTACTTGCTTTCCAGTGATCTATGTTTACCCATATATTTGGGGATCACATGTTTTTCCCAAACATATTTTTTTCTGTTTAGGCAACAGTCCTTGCAGACTATGGAGGATTCTACAGTCAGACAGTCCAAGACTCACTGTACAGAAGAGGCCAGTTTTCTCAGGACCTGTCTTATGAGAAATGTAGGATCTTCCAAGAGGGCAACTGAGAACAAGTCTAGCTCAGCCTAGCAGAGTATATCCCCTCTAGCCACATAAAGAACTGTGACTACCATTTCACAACTTGAATATGTTGGTCTCTTTCTGACCTGTCTACCATGTGCAGTGGTGTAAGCTGGGAGAGAAAGCTCAATAATTTCCTTTTCATCTTGGAAATGCGACATGGCAGAAGCTGAGCAGTACCCCACAAACCACGCTTCCTGAACCACTGCACCCAAATCTCTCAGCCAAATACCAGTTGCAACACTTTACATGTATATGTAAAAATAACCTATTTCTTATTCAAGAAAGGGGAAAAGATAAAGTCACTGGAATTTCTAACATCTTTTGTACAACATCACCATCATAAATAACCAAGAACTGTCACGTTATGCCTGTCTACTGAGACTCCTTACTAATTCAAATAAAAGAACATCCTTTATGCTGAAAAAACGTTTACAGAATGTGCCACAGCTGGAAGCTATTATGCAGGCCTTGAAAATGCTTGTCAGCAGGATATCAGTTAAACAGGTGTATGGTGATGGCTAGGGCATATAACAGACTCATTAAGGTTAGCTTCAGTATCAGTAACACAGAATTTAGTGTTTCAAATACATAGATCTTTGGGCTTGAAATCTGTTAAGAATTTTTTTTTTTTTTTAATCTATTTTGATGTACTTGCTAAAGAAGAACCCAGATATAATGCGAGCTTCCAGAGACGTGACTGGAAAGATATCTAAAAAGACTAACATCAGCTGATAGGAGCCAGTCTCCTAGGGTGTCTTTATCTGGTGCCTCCCATCCAGGTCCCATCTGGCTTCTCCAGATGGTGATTTAGAGTAGACTTAATCCATATGTTTGCAGTCGTCTCTGCTCATCTCCATTGCCTAAAGTAGTGGCTTTAGGGAGACTAACTGCTTTAGGCTAGGCATGGAGAGGAAAATGCAAGATGTTTCAGTTTTCCTCAGTGGCCTCAAGGCCAGCTCATCCACATCTTATAAAGATTGTTAAAGATGGAAAAGGCACTCATATAAAACATTCGCTTTACGGAGACTACTGGGAGATATTTATTCTCAAAGTTTGAGCCCTGTCAATTGGAAAAAATCCTGGAAGAAAAAATATGTGGGTGTAATCATGGTCAGATCATATTATAGATTGGCCATTAGTAGTTAGTATATTAAAAAGAACCTGTAAGAGAGGCAAATGGGACAGGAGGAGGTGTAAGACAACATTTTCAGAGAGACAATAGTTGCACAGACCCATATAGGACCATATCTGGAACATAGTGGTATGTCTCTGTTCAAGAACTCTGAACTCCTGCTAGAACAGATGCAGAAAAGGGCAAATAGATGTGATGAATGAAGAAACTCAAAATCCTTTCTTTTTCCATCTAGAAGAAAGAAGATCAAGCTGAGATGTGATTTCCCTGAAGAAATACAAGAGACAGAGAGAGAAACAGCATTTGGGGTAATGCTGGCAAAAGAACACTTGATCAGAAGTTGCCAAGTGTAAGTTCAGGCTAATTAAATCAGTGTTTCTCCAAAGAAGTGAGTTTCAAAGGCAGGCTTGAGAAAGAAGAATGACAAAATTCCTAAGTAATTTTAATGCGTATATAAGCAGGATATTATGATGTGGCTGCCTCCAGTGGAGGACAGCACTTGATGACTCAGTCTTATGTTTCTGTCTGTCTCCTATTAATCCTTGGCTTTAAAAAAGCAACAACAAGAAAATACTGTAGCTAGAAGCTAATCTGAAGCAAAATTTTTTCTGCATCAATTATGTGGGCTATAAATGTAACAACAAAATAGCAAAAGGTTATGCTTGGCCAGGCTAAAAATATATTCCAACACTAAAAGCAAACTGTTACTCAGTGGAAGCCAGACTGTGATAATTAACAGGTTTTAACGGCCATGGAGATAAAAAAAAGCTAGACCTGGGATATCCGTCAACATTTCAAAATAGTCTATGTATTTTTACATGTTCCCCATATCCATCTCTGCCACTCAAAGTGAAATTGTTTTCAATCAGGCAATGATAAATTCATTTTGCTTCTCAGATGTGAACTGTAATAACAGGAAGCCATAACAAGCCATAAAGGTTTTGTTTGGTTTGTTTTTTAAAAAATCTGATTCAATTTTTCTGAATATACTAAATATTCTTATATATTCCGGAGAATAATACATGTGAAAGGAGCATGCCATTTTAGGAATATGGAAGTCTCTTGTCACTTATCTTTTTCAGACCGAAAGAAAAGTGCTCAGTGTGACTATGGTTTGCAGATGAAGGGATGACAGCTCCACAGATCAACTGCCCTGCATGAGCTCCGACCTGGGGTAATGGGTGAACGTCACCAAAGGGGTTGGTGCAGGGACTTCATGTTGCAGCTCTAAGAGCTGCTCAGGTGAGCAGTTCTGCATTGTGATGGCCAACACTGAAACCTTTCTGTTGGTAAAGCAGCATGGTCTGCTCAGTCAGTGAGGAATGATCTGCTAGAGACCCTTTCTAGCAATTGGCTGCTGGGGATAAACACGGCTGCACCAGGACAGGTCTGCATCAGAAGAGAGGCTTGTCTGTCTTCTTTAGGAGAAGCCTGCCTGGAGATTTGCCAGAGACCTCAGTCCCATATTCTCTGATCCACTGTAGACACTTGAGAACATGTTTTAACTTTAAGCATATGAGTGGTCCTATGGACATCAATGGGGTTGCTAATGTGCCTAAAGTTAAATATGTATCAAGTGCTGTTCTGGAATGGGACCAAGGACTCAAAAATTTACAGGATCAAGGTTTGGCTGAAGAACAGAGAATAAAAAGGGAGACAAAAGCTGAGAGATACTGAGTTGCTCTCATGCCCTCTTGCGTCAGTCCTTCACGGAAGCAAGCCCTAGGATAAACCCCTCATTATAGTAAAAGTTAAAGGAATACCTGTGCAGAAAGCTGAAACACTAAAAGATACTGTAAACACTCACTTTACAGCACACAATGTCTTTTGATTTTCAGATGGCAGTACATTTTACAGCAGATACAGTGATGTCACTGCAGGAAAACATCACAAAAACATTGCAGCAACAGGATCTCTTTCAACAGAGGCCTGGTTGACTCACTCTCACAGCTGCAGCAAAGTAGTCCAATGTGTTTCTGGAGAGCATTCTTGCTTGTGAAGTCTTTATTGGGACACTCTGACTGCAGGGAAATGCAGCCGCTTTTCATTTCTTGTGGCAGTCAGAAAGTTTCATTGAATATTTCTGAGCTCTCAATCCCTTCCAAAACACATGCTGAATTTCCTGGCTCTCTTCCTTAAAATCTGGTCTGGGTTTCTACCACTGTCACCTCTCAAATTACTTTATGTGCACATAAATTAAAAAAAAAAACAAAACCAAAAAAAAAAGCATTTTGATTTTTCAAAATTAATTTTTAACTGTTTTTCACAACTTTGTGAATTTTTATATGCAATCGCTTTTATGTTTAAATGATCTGTATTATGAACTTATAACTGGAATCCAGCAAAGCTGAAACAGAGTTGTCCTTTTGCTATTAGTAATGCAACACTGCCAACTAGAGGCATTGGTAACAATCGAATTTTTGTCTTATTGGCCATGTCAGTAAAGAGCTGCATACCTATAAATACTAAAATATTGTATTTGCACTACAGAAATCCCACCCAAGTCCTCCAACTACAGTGGTACTTGCATTTCATTTTCTTTAGATATTGATGCTTCGGTATGCCACTTATTGAATCCAAACACCTCAACACATCATCCAGAAACTCAAATATAATCAAGTCAGATATCAAACTCTTTGGGTTCCTCAAAGAGTTACTGAGCCATTCTAACAGCTTTTGGAAATAAGCCTCCACAACACATTGCAAACGTTTAAAAAAAAATAATAAATTAAAAAATTATGGCTTTGAGGGCAAACTAAATTCTAGATATTATTTTCTCAACCCACAATTTCAGTAAGACTTCATAATTTATTGGAATAAAGAAATCATAGTCTATTCAGGTGGTCTAAAAGGCAATTTCTACATAAGCTTTCAGCTCTGTAAGATAACATACACTTTGAGGAAGGTGTTTGTTCACAGCTGAAGCAGTGATTGAAAAGAGAGAAAGATTGAAAGATTGAAAATAGAGACAACATGCCCTTGACCAGAAAGGCTCAGCCACAACCTGCTGCATGTGGTTCCCTGACATGTATGTGCTTGTTAGTTCCCTGTATGAGAGGAGACTTGATGCAAAGCCATCGATGTTCATGCACCACGCTCAGACTGGAGCTGCCTGGGCCCCACACTGCTGCCCCTGCTCTCTTCCCTTCTATGCCCACGATGGTGGGGAACATCAGCAACCACAGCTACCCAAGATGCAGCAAGAGGAAGCTGGAACAGAGGAGGACAGGGACCTTCTGCAGGTCCTCATGCCAACCAAGATCCAACGAAGCCTTGGGGAAAGAGTCATTCCGGCTGCCCCCATCCCTCCACTGCCATATGACCTTATGTCAAACACAACCCTGTGTGTAGGCAGAGTCTGCCGGCAGGGAGAGAACTGAGAGCCTTGAGCATGCAACAGGCTTACCACTCCTCTCCAGACTTACAGCGTGCAAGAAATAGAACTCTCCCTTTTTCTAATTAAGGACTGTGAAAAGTGGCGAGCCTTCACATCCCTTTTCAGCAGCTGGGATCTCCCCAGCTATGGGCATGGAGTGCACTGTACCCCTTCTCTGGGCTGTCAGTGTGTGTGCCTTGGGGTGCACCAACAACTTTGGAGGCCAGAATGGATTCCAAGGCTTCCCCAGCACGACTAGAACCACACTGTAAGAGGAAGATCCACTGGTAGAAGGGCAAGCTCTGCCTTCCAGGGCTCACACAGCATTAAATAAACAGTCCAGAACAGTTTGTACTTTTGGACTGAAGGGAGGAACCAACATCTAGCATTGGTTTCCTTTTATTTACCAGAATACATTTATTCCATAAATCTCAGCAAAATTTATGGAAAATAATAAATTACATTTTTCCACTTGCAGTCTTCAAAGCTTTGTGTCTATAAAAAGTTCTGGGAAATCTGAGAAGCCTAGAGGGCAGGAAAATAATCTTGTTGGGAAGTGGAAGCCAGTAGACAGTAGTGACTCACAGAGGCACAGAGCTGCAGAGCAGCTGAAGTAAGGTGCCAATTTAGCATGTAACCAAGTTTTCCAGGTGCTGTGCCACAGGGCACTTTAAAGACAGAGGGGTCAGTTTCCAAAAAAATGCAGAGTAACCTCTGGAGGGGGTTGGAGGTGACAATACTGGAACAAGTTGTAGACTTAGAAGTGAAAGCCTGGACACTGGCCTGGGAAGTGGAGAATACAGTTTGCAGCCAGTATAAACCACTGTAAAAACTAACTCAATAAATGGTTTTCCACTTATATTATTATGCTTGTGTTCCATAACAAAGTCTTTACTGGAATACAAAACTAAAAAAGCACAGTGCTCCAGTGTAAGCAACCTGCTGGGGCACAGGTAACACTGAAGTAGTTTGTTCACTTGAGCAGTACCTGGAGCTTTCCTTTTAGGAAAGGGGGCTGGGGGAAAGTACATCTGTTGCAAATCAGTAATACCAGAAGCCCTATTTCCACAATTGTGGCTATTTCAAAAGACACACTCAGAAACAAAGCAGCATGTCATATCTAGATATCTCTAAATGACTTTGTTGAAATGATCCAGAAATTTTCTAGTAATGATTTTTGGCTGTCCATCAAAACCTGAGTCCAATAGACATTTTTAGGTTTTTTCCACTTATTCCTTTTTGGCAGTGAAAGCTAATGCTCAGCACTCTTAGCCTGTAGTTCTCTGCTCTGGTATCATATGCTGCTTGAATGTACCCTGAGGTCCAGACACACTCCACACTAAATACCTGCGTTAGGAGCCAGAATACCTCTCATCCATGAAAGTATGTGTCTGTGAAGGTTTCTCCTGCTGTTTAGTGTAAAATTTATTTGGGCATTTGTGGTGGTGCATCTCCCCTCTTCAGGCCACGCTACAATCTCCCTGTGTAATCTCCTAATTAACTTTGTATTGATTTGCAGAGACACATTGATCATGTGTAAAAGCCTTTGCAGAGTTATCAACAGAGGTTGCAGGAATGACTCTGAGTTACACCTGTCACAGGAGCTGTGATCTTATCCCTTGCTCACACGTGAGCTGAGGCAGAGTTGGACAGAGTAAGAACTTCATCAGCAATGTCATTTGTGCAGCACTATGTAAATTAAAATTTTAAAGTCAGTTCCACTTTTCATAAATGGGCTGTCCAGTGTATGGCTATGTACCTAAATCTGCTGCTGCATGACTCACACGAAAACAGTAGCCTGTGATTTCAAATGTCAGTTATTCTGCAACATCTTTCTCTTTCTAAAAGTCTGTCCTCTTCACATACTTTAATGCTGTTTTGCTCTGCCCTGTATTTAGCTAATTGTTACATTTCCTAATTTTGATCTGGATAGAAATGTATACACACAGTTAACCCATAATTACTTGTACCTCCAAAATTAATCTTTTAGAGCAGAGAAGAAAAATGCAAACACCTTCCACCCACATTCCCCTGGAGACTAAGTTGGCCAAGTTCAGTGAGCAAAAGCTGCTAGTTAAATGAAGGAGTACAGAAACGTGCTCTACATTTCAGAGATTCAATATTTGGCTGGTAGGTGCTGCTGCACAGGTCAGCCTTTTGAGTGCCAGGCAGCACAGTTTTGGCTGGGATGGAGCTCTGGCTTCACGCTCTGGGCATGTATTGATGCTGAACATATGAAGAAGAAATTAAGGACAGGGAGCTAATAAGATCCCACTTAACAAGCAGTGGCTAAACAGGTTTACTGAAGGCATCCAGCTTGGATTTATAAATTATTACAGTCATTTCCTTTCAGCATTAAACCTTAACAAGGTTTTTTCACCAGGGCTGCCAATCTATCTGTGGCAAGACTGACAAAGGCTGAAATTCTGACCTTCAAATATAGAGACAAATTGCTGAACATCGTCCTGCCAAAGGGCACTCACAGGTAGCTCAGCACTAATTTTAGGCTGACTGAATATCTACCCCTTGGCTTCTCAAAGTAAGAAACCTGTGCCATGAAAAACATAATACCTCAGGGATGAATAACACAATATGTCAGGGATAAGAAACAATAGACTTCAGTTATTTTGCAAAATTTCTATATTTCTAACTATAAGTGTAACCATACAGTCCATATAAAAAAATACATGGTAAATAAATAATTATTATTTATTCTGTCTCAAAAAAAATAGGTTTGTTTTATTTGTTAATTACACTTCTCTACACAAAGTAACCCTTGTGTCTTCCTAGTAGGTTCATACCTGTCTTCAAGCACCAGTGAACCCTGCCATTCTCTGGGAACAAAAGCACCTACAGTTCCAGCTTTCATTGGCAGTTTCTTTTTACACTGGATATAAGCCAGACTCGAACTGTTTGAGGGGGGAAGTAGCAGACACACATAAGCCACTATTTATTTCCAGTCCTCATAACAAGATACCTGATACAAGCAAGATGAAGAGCAATGCAAGGATTCAGTGTATAAGCATGGGAACTCACAAGGATGAAAGTTGGAAGGATGGCAGAAAAGAAAGGGGGAGGGTGGAAACACATTAATTTGGTTTTCAGCTCAAAGGTTCCTCTCATTTTTTCCCAGGTGAATGCACTGTTGTTGCCACACAGAGACCTGGACAGCTCAGGTGTTCTGTGCTTCTATCACACTGATTTTTAACTAACCAGTTCCAGGAAGAGGACCTTCGATCAGGAGAATTGATCGCTGCTGGTGAGCAAGTATTTCTCATTCTTAACTCTCCTTAATACAGCAGTGAGGTTTGGTTCACAAATACCTTAAAAACTTAGTTATTCGAAAAGACTGCATGGTAGATGCATGGAGATTAGCTAGCAAATGTTTGTTCTGGCAGAGAGTTGAAGGAAATCTATATGGCATTTTCTGTCATTTTTTTCTCCAAATCAATTAACTAATGTTGTATCATGCAGTATCAAAAATTCAGATTATTAAATTTAAACTGCCTCCAGATGCAACTCCATAAATTATACTTCCAAACCCCTGTTGATTTTCAATAGAATGATAATCAAAGCTTCAGATAAATATACCTGTGATTTGAGGAGATTTACACCTTGGTTTTCTTATGAATACCTAATGAAAGAAAGATCCGAATTGCACATTCCATGTCTGCTTTAGAAAGACATTATCTGATGTGATTTCAATGCCATATCTATTCATGCTTAAATATAATCTTACCATGTTAATAGAAATGCTAAATTTGATTGTTAACATCTGATTGGTAAACTGATACTAAAGGTAGTTGCTGATTTTCAGATAGAGTTGCTACAAACACTCATTTTTCAAGACTATGGAAGTATGGTGTAGTGATCTGCTTTAGCTGACTGAAGTTAGTCATTTGCACAAATATGGGGAAACCATGAATGAAATTTTTGTTGAGGATTTATTCAAAAATCCTCATCCCCCGACTTAAATAAAAATTACAGTCTGTCCTTAGGAAACACTGGAAAATGTCTCATTTTCTTGTTAAACATCAATAATCTCCAATCATCAAATTACTGTGCATAATAAATAAGCTCCAAAGGAGACTCCTTTGTAAAACTCAGTCAAGAGTAGCCAACATGAATGAGTCTAGTGGAGTAAGTAAAACAAAGAACAACTCTACAGTTGTGATGCCATGTGCAGGTAGAGGGAATCATTTCAGAACACGACTGAAGAGAAAAATATTATGATAAATATACTACATATTTTAGCAACCTAGGGAAATTTTTCAGAAATATGAGATTCTTACAACACGATGATCTTTTTTTCCTAAATTTTTGCATATTTTATTATACAAATTTTTCTCCACAACACTTTTCTTGGATTCAGATTGCCAGTTATTGGAAATGGAGTTTTAATTTGTTCACAAGAAATTTAACTGCTCACAGTGATTCTGTGATGTTAAGATATTCATTAAAGTGTCACTTTTCCTGCTTCTGAGTCCTAAAAAGCATGAAGCTTTTCCTTCTGCCAGTGCTCTGGGTCATAATTCTATGCTGGATACCATTCCTCCAGTGAGAACTAACAAGACTGGATGATATTCTGGGCTATACGCATTACATTTTTAACTCAGCTGAAACCATCAGATATCCACCTGAATATCAGAGTTTTCATGCCTAAATATGTTTGTACTGGACAGAAAGACCTATCAATTAAAAAAACATTTAGATTTTAATGCTTTTTCCTCAACGCTTGCTTCTGTTCTCTGACTTTTATCAAGGACAGACGTTACTAAATTTCTTATAATGATCTTTGTCAGGAAGAGAATACTAAAGCAGCCAGGAGCACAGAGGAATTGTTCTATTCAGAAGGACTTCAGCTGAAATTCAGTGTAAAAAAAGCTGTGAAGAATAGGGAAATTTTTCAAGTTTTCATTGTGAGAAACTGCTGAAAATTTCTTTGATATTTATCTCACAGTCCTTAACATCCTGGTTCACAGAGTGAAGACTTAAAATATTATGGCAATTTCAACATTTTTGATGGATTTGGCAATTTAAAATGTATCATACTTGGAGAAAAATATTTGCCAATTTTCCTATTTTATTAAGGAGGATATCATGAGACATCTTTTGTCAGAAAAAAACACCCTAATATATAAAAAACCCCCATGCTGTTATGTTTCACTGAAACTAAGAAACCTATAGCATTGTCTTTAATTTTGCATTTTTCTCACAAAAGCTGGTATTTCTAGAAATAACCAAAGCTTTCTCTAAGTATAGATTGTTAGAATGCCACTAACACATTGATTTACACTGTGCCAGATGACAAATCCACGTGACTAAAGTTGTTGCTTTGTTTTCCAGTTTCCTTGCTGCATTGAAAGGGAAATAATGCTCCATTCAACATTGGCCTTGTCCCTCCTGCTAATTGCAGTCACTTCCAACCTTGCAATGGCAATTAAAAAGGAAAAACGAGCACCTCAGACACTGTCAAGAGGTACTGTATATTTACTGTATGTAGTTACCTCCTTACCTCACCATATAGGCCAGCAAATGTTTTTCTTTTAAATGTACATTCATACTTACTGAGGTGTGTTTCTCTAGTGTTAAGTGATACTCTGAGTAATGCATGTTCTTATTTCATGTCATTTCACTCCATCATTTTATTCTTAATGATATGACTGAGGGCCTCATATAAGCTGCATAATTTATGTAACTCACACTGACACAGTAGAAGCAAATAACTCAAACTGAGTCTCTCAGATCAGGATGTACTTATAGGACTATCAGTGAAAAAATATTCTTTCATATACTATTTGAGAGATATTTTATTATGGCAACTTACCAACTGCTGAAACAGTTTCACAACTTCAGCTGCTGTGGCACGATTTTTCTACAGACCCATTTTTGTACACAAACCCATTTGAACCATTTGGTGTGGTTTTCCATGTGACTTTTTTTTCCTTTTGATTTTCATCAGATATCCACTGCAAAGCATGACTGTGAGTAATTCACTTCCTCGTGGTGCATAATTTTCAACCTGGATGTTAAATAAAGACCCTGTTTTAAGTTATTTATGTCTGATCAATCCTTAGAAATACAAGCAGAAAAAAAGCTCAGGAAGCTCTTTTCCCCTTCTCCATCTTCCATCTCCTTTTGGAACTATTAAGCACAAAATATCTCCATCTCCCTTCCTGACCTCTTCTGCAAGCTGTGCAAGCCTCCAGATCCCATGGCTCACCTCTGAGGTTTCCTTGTTCTGGTAAAGTTGCACATGTCACAGAGATTCCATCTGAGCCTGATTGCTCCAAGACCACTTGACAAAATCACGTAACACCTGGACTACCCAAAGAGAAATTTCAAATCACTTTTCGTAAGCAGTATCCTGGGAGAAAGTTTATAATCAACCCAGTATGTAGATCAGGATTTATTTTCCCACTAAGCACAAATGCACCGGAAGACAGCAAAACCTCTTACATTCTGGCGGTTTTGAAAATAAAAAAGCAGTGACAGAAAGCAGGTGTCACTCTTCTAATTGTGATTTCAGGCCCTTCAGGATGCCTTGCACACTTTACAAGTAATTTTCACGGATCAAAGGGGAACACTTAAACCTGCTCCAAAATGACTCCTACTCCTCTGTGTAGATGCCTTCAGCAGCAGCTGACTGCAGCTGGGGTTGGGAAGGCATCAGTCAGCATGCCAGAATCCCATCAGCCAGAAAGATCTGTCTACTGAAGGAAGAGGTGATCCACCAACATCACAAGCAATTGTCCTGTGAGAAATTTAACAGCAAATCTGAGCTGGTCCCAGCACTGTCCAGACAGTGCAGAAGAAACAGAGCTCCACTGTGGTGCAAATCCAGAAATTGTTCTACAGTTCCCATGAGGGCTGTCATGAATGGAGCCACACTGCCTAGGATGCAGGGATCTGCTACACAGGGGTTGGGAGCTGAAGGCGTGAAACCAACTGGACAGTTTGCTTTTTGAGATCTGTGGTACAGATGAGCTATGAAGCTGATGATTCACTGGAATTTGGTTTCGGTGGAGATTTTTATTTAACAGTCATTCTTTTATGAAATTACTTAATTAAATTACATACTTGCAACTCCAGGGACTGAAGTTCATTACTTTGGAGCTAGATTTATAACCCAAGACTGTTCTAATGACATTCACATTAAAGCTGATCTCATTTGAGCTGTCATATTTTATTTTTCTCTCTTTTATGTATCAACTTGTCTTTAAGTCCCAGGGTCTACATGAAATATGGAGCAGACAACATAAAGATAAAAAGGATTTGGGATCTCATTTAGGTACCTCTGAGCTTTCAGAAAGTTAGCCAGCTAGTCTGTCAAAGGACTTGAGCTGGATGCACAACCAGCAGAGATTTTTGGGGAGGTTGGTTGTTTGGCTAGAGTTTTTTAATCTTTCAGTGTACCTATCAGGAGATGTAGAATTAGTATATTCATAATGTTAGAGAATCTTTGACTAAAAACCCGAAATCTTATCTGTCTACAAGTGTTGATAAATATTTAAAAAAAAAAAAAAAAGGAATTTAATCCTCTTGTCATACTTCTAGGGTGGGGAGATGAAATTACCTGGGTACAAACTTACGAAGAAGGGCTTTATCAAGCAAAAAAAAGGTAAGAGATTAAAAAGTAGTATGAAGACAAAGTTGTTACTCAGACATGCTGGAATAAACTATAATGAAGCAGAACAAAGAAACACCATGACAGCTGATCTGCAGACCACCCAGCTAAATAAAACAGACTGTGTCTATAAATAAAAGCCCTTGTAGGAATCTTATGACTCTGAAGTAACTTTACAGGCTGACAATGTAATGTTGTCATTTCTTTGTCAAAAGAGCAGTGTTGTCATTTGAATTAGCAATGATAAATAGATATACCATAATTTTTTCAATTACATCTGTTGTGTTTCAATATCATGTACCTTTGATTACTTCCTTGACATCAGTTGCATTTGTTCTTGCATGGAGATATGCTGCCTCTGATGTTTTCCACAGCACTTTATTAGTTGGAATATGTCCATGATATACTCACAGTTTCTCACTGTCTTGGTAGAAACCGCAGTTCCAATCTGAATCTTCTCTGGAACTCAGCTGAAAATAAATTTGAGAATTCATAACAATGCTTATTTAAATATCTTTTACAGTTCATTTTAGATCACAATTAGCGTAGCATAAGCTATTGTTAAATTGAAGGCAAATTATTTTTAAAATAAAAGACAATTGATACCATGTACCCTAGGTGAAAATGGCTACAAACAAACAACTCTTGACAGTGATAGCAGACCAAGGATTAGTAATTGTGAAATGCTGAACAGTAAATATAGTTTTAAAAAAATACAGGAGAAAATGCAGAGAAATTTTTTGTTTTGACATCCCAAATATAAAATTTTGATACTTTACTAAAATATTTACAGAAAAAATAATATCTGTTTACTATTCAAGAAAGAAAGCTTAGAGCACATGAAACTTTTCATGGGGAGTATTTGATGATAAACCAAATCTTATAAAAATTATTTTATTCCTGTTCATACAGAGTATTTTAATTTTCTTAATCATGGAGAACTTCATAAGTAAGCAACATTAAATAGCTCTTGAGTTTGATTATTTACTACCTGGGAATGAAATGATGAAGGAGCTGTTATTTCTTTCTTCTGGAATCTTTTACTACAGACAACCTATTTAGATATAGAAGCCCTATTTCTCTATTTCTCTTTTATGAAGTGTTTATGCTCCTTTCCCTTGCTCAAAAATGTCTGTAATATTTTACAGAATGTCTGTATGGTTTTACTGTGGGATAACATAAGATTAAACACAACTTGCCTTTTTCAGTCTGCTAGTAAAATCACCCATTTGCATACTTGTCAAATCATCTAACTACATCTTTTATTATTATTAATAAAGTAACAAGCCACTGATGGTAATTCATCATTTGGAAGACTGTCAATACTGCCAAGGTAATTTTGATTTTTTGTGTGTTAAAATGTTGTGAATATTTTTATAAGAAACTGAGCCTACCTATATATTTACCTTGTACTTAGTGAAAATTATTTAAAGAAACAGGCAAATGAAAATCTATCTGAAACTCAAAGAATTTATTACCGTTATTTACAAAAACTCCACTACCCAATAAAGAACATGAAAAATACTCAGCGCTGCTGTACTGCTATCCCAAATGCAGCACTCATCAGTTTAAATTAAGAGGCAGAGATTTGCTACTGACTCATTGAACAGATTTAATATTGTTTGGGTCTCCTGAACTGGTAACTAAAGAAGGAGGCGAGGATGGGGCTGCTGAAATTGATCTAACAAGAATTTTCTGAGAATAATGCACTTTTGTCAAGCCAAGACATGGCATCCATTGAGACGACAGGCTTCATAAATAACAGAAGAGAGCTTCCATTTTCACAGCCGGGAGGTTGTACTGCCATGGGTCAAAAAACCCCCAAAAGCAATGATAGAGACTTTAAGTGTCTCCTCAGGAATGTGAATCAGCAGAGACAGGAACAATGTGGCCAGTCTCTGGCCAATATGGTGCCCAAATGCAGACCGAAAGGCAGAGTTTGAGATGGACTTCAACGTTTATTCTGTTTTTTCTAGCACTGAAGAAAGCTTTTGCAGAAAATGAAGAAATACAGGAAATGGCCCAAAATAATTTTGTTATGCTGAATCTCATGGTATGAAGGGTTTGGGGCGATTTGACTGGTGTCTTTTCATGGTCTGTGTTTTCTCTGTCTTGCTTTTTCATGTCATTTTAGCTAATATGTCTGGCATTTTATTTATATAAGTAGAGGCACTTGTGCATGTTTATTCACACACAAGTAATACCTATCCAGTTTTGTCCTCTGGTACGAGGTTATTCACAGGTGGTACTACTTACCAAAATTTACAGAAATATTTTAATAAACAGCTTTAATTTTTCTACCAGCATGAAACCACAGATAAAAACCTGTCGCCTGATGGACAATACGTGCCTCGAATCATGTTTGTAGGTATGTACGATATTTATGTATCTTCAAGGCTGTGATATCTGAATTATGCCAGTGTCCTCCTTTGGGGACACCAGAATGATTCATTTTGCAAAAAGTAAACAGCTCACTGCCTCTGTTGCATACTTTGACCCTTGTAAACTTCCTTAAATCAGAGATGTGTTCCGAAGGGTACCTAATTTTGACCTGGGGACAAGATGTTTAAAAATCTATTAACATCTGGGCTTTTGCTCTTAGTGCTTCTTGCTAGTGCTGTTACAAGACAAAGTTTACTGAAAAAGTCAAATATCCGACTGAATGTAGATGTCTAAAGTGTGGATATTACCACAGAGTAAATCAATAGTTAGTGGCCTCTAAGGAATGATTTATCCCATTGTAAAGCAGGCTTCTGGAATGGATCAAATTAATTATGCCCCAGAGTGCCTGTTCATTTTCACTGATTGTACAGGGAGCCTAGAGTGACCAGCTCTTTGGTGGCAGCCAAAGTTCAGTGAGATGAAGACCACACTCAGACAGAGAGCAGTGCAGTTACAGGAGTCAGTTAATTACCGAAAAAGCTTGGAAGGGAAACTGGAAAAAGATATGTCCACAACAACCTGTTTCCATGCTGGGAACGTTACAAATCATGAGATTTTCATTCTGAAGTCTCTAGGCAGGTCGTGCTAATATTGTATTAGGGATGCATAACCCTCACTGTGTATGCATCCAGTAAAATTAGCCTCTCCTGATGTAAACCCAGAACCTGTAAAACAGGATATTTTCCTTCAATTATGGATGAAATGCATGTGTAACCTAGCGCTTAAAAATAGCTGCATAATACAAAAATGAACATAAGCTTTTGTTCAGGATTTCTCCTAGTAAAGAGCAGTTGTCTGGAACAGAGCGTAACGGCCTCCTAATTGCCTCGTTGATGAAATCAGAAGCAGGGCTGACAAAGCAGTGCCACACCATCACCCACAGCTGTTGTGGGAATGGAAGGCAGTGGTTAATATGATTACTTTTCCAGACCCATCTCTCACAGTACGAGCTGATATCACAGGAAGGTACTCCAACCGGCTCTACACGTATGAACCACAAGACATACCATTCTGTAAGTGCCCCCTTTGCTGTGTTTGCGTTTCACATTGTAAGCAGCCTGATACCCCATCCCAGTCATTTGTGTGTGAGAATCCAGTAGGATCTCAAAGTAAAGAATAAATACTGTGCGTGAGCACCTGCAATAAATTATAATGGTCTAACCTGTTCAAGCAGAACAATCACACCTATTGTCCCATTGAATTTATTGGGACTACTCAGGTAAGAAAAATTGAAAGATCATGGGTGAGAACTTTCAGGATCAAGATCTGAGCAGTTTGCTGAAGAACAGTGAAAGTTATACTTATGCAAGTCATACCTGGACACTCAAAAGTATCCAACTGCACAATATAAATAGCCAGTGGTGGGAGGGAATCAGTAAAGAAATGCTGGTGCTTACCTCGGTACCACCTAACACACATATTTCAGAAAGGAATGTGATTTTTCAGGTTCAGCCAGTTCTTACTCTATACCATCTATCTGACTCCAGTGCAATATCTCACCACAAATATGCACATCACATCTGATTACCAGGCTTGCTGTTGAGAAAGGAGGGAGTTGAAAGGAGCCTTGTCAAATCTCTTTAAGTTAAACATTCTGATTCATTAAACTTTTTACCTTCTGCTTTAGTAACAATGCCAGAATTTTCACAATAGAAAGCTCTAAAATATAATGTGTGACCATAAATTAATTTCAATACGAACAGTTTACTAAATCAAAGTAGGAATTTTTAATTGTACGAATGCACTTTTAATACATTTTTACAGTTCTTATTTAATTTTCTTTCAGTAATAGAGAACATGAAGAAAGCACTACGCCTCATTCAGACTGAACTGTAACCAGCAACAGTGAAATTACCAAAACCTCTACGAGGTGAAGATGCACCTCTGTCTCTACTAGAATTTTGAAATCTAACCAAGCAGTTTGGTATATCAGATTTCTTAAGAACAATTTGGAGAACAAATACAGAAGGACTATCATAACCATTTGCAAAACAAGAGGAGAAATATACTAAACACTTTGAAACTAGTTATCTGAATAACTGAGAGTGATGGCTTAAGGTACCGAAACTTTGAGCTGTACTTTATCAATCTAACTCTGACTCTATTAAGTCAGTTATGACTTCTGACCAGGAATTATAAACAACCTTTTGGATCTCTACTTGCAATTTACTACATAAGTGAATAGCTGCATGTTGGCTCCCCATCTTAATTTTTATTGCAAGAAGCTTGTTAGTTGTTGGTGTACCTCTGCTTTATACACTTATTTCTCATTAAAAGAAAATAAACTTTGGTGTCAAATCAGACAAGAAAGTTCTTCTGATAGATTTTGGAATAGCTTATACCGTAAAAAAACAGTTATCTGGGTTTAGCTTTCCCCTGTATAATCCTTCAACTATTGTTCTGATAGCTGAAAACAGGACAGACATTCCAGATTGAGCATGTGGTCTCAGTGAGGTGATAACCATCAAAGAGCAACTACAGGTTTTGCTATGATAAAGATACAGTGAAGCAAGAGAGATGGAAGGAGATAGTCCCAGAACCCCACTCCTAAGTGAGGATAAGTGATGAGTGTGAAGTCTGGTATGGGAAAAATGAGGAGGCTTGTCCTAGCTCTTTTCATCTAAACAGTGCATTTGAGTCATGGAAATCTCATCCCAGATCATTCCCTCTTTCTGTAGCATTCCACTGTGAAGGTGGCAGCTTATTGAGAGAATCTGTACATAAAAAGCCTTTGCAAAATTTCCCTGGGATCACTGTATGCAAGGGTGGACACCTGTTTGAGTAAAAAGCTGAAGTAGTTTATTATCCCAGCAATGTAGTTTTTTGTTATAGCAAAATAGATATCAATTCACCTGCAGTAGGACCATGTATGTTGTGTTACATGCAAAACACCAGTGTCATTTGCTCTACCTGCCATTTCCTGTGGTGCTGCCTGAATGCACACATAAAAGATGAAGGAAGGACCTCTTCAGCACAGCCGTGCTGATTTATAATACCTACTGGTTATTTGTCATGAATTAGTTATATTGCACCTATCTATGTCTTCAGAATTACTTAAAATTTGGATATAAGTATACATTCCAACAGAGTGGTGATAAATTACCTGTACATGAAGAGAAAAGAATTATTGTATTAGTCATTAATAATAACAATATCTTAATAATCAGTCAAATGACTTTTTTAACCTGTAGGGAAAATGCTAGAAGTAAAATTAAACTGGAAATCACATTCCTTTGATTTAGCTCTACTCATTTTTCTCTTTATCTATTCCAGATTTGGAAACATTTCCCAGTCTGCAGGCATTGCTCTTTCAGGCATGCCAGCGATGTTCAGGAGAAAGGGATGTGAGCTAGCTGCCAGAGATGACACAGGGTAGCCATGACAGCCACTCAGCCTCCTTTTCTCCAGGCTAAACAACCCCAGTACCCCCAGCTACTCCTCATGACACTCATGCTCCAGATCCTTCACCAGCTTTGTTGCCCTTCTCTGGACACGCACCTGCCTTGCTGGCCTTCCCGTTGATTCTCACCAATAAACACTCAACCCTGTCATCGACATCATTAAGCTCTAGACAATCAAAAAACTCCCCAAAAAACAGGGCTCCCCCAACAACTCTCCTTCCTTGCCTGTCCCTTTTGAAGAGCTTATAGCCATGCATTGCAGCACTCCAGTTGTGCAAGTCATCCTACCATGTTTCCTTGGTGGCAACCTACACCATAGTTCTCCAGCTTCACAGTCTTCCAGCTCTTTCTCTTTGTGTCCCACACTGCGTGTGTCGTGTAGATGCACCTCAGTTGGGCTACTGATCCTGCCACATTTTTGAGGGAGAAGCCCTAATTCCTGCGTGACGATTCTCAGGCACTTCCACGTTTTCTAACACATGAATAACCCTTGTGTCTCTGCTGCTGCATGGATCTCCATCCCCTACCACCACTGAGAGGGCAGACCAAAGGACATCACTAGCACACTGTCCCTCAAACATTTGTGTGCCACTACCAGGCTTATTCTCTAGTGAACATGGTTTTATCCCCTTCCCTCTTCAAATCTAGTTTAAAATTGGATCCATGGTCATAAGCAAAAAGATGTCTGTTAAGAATCCACAGAGCTGGAATCCCAAAAAATTTGTGATACAGGACCACAGTCCAGAACTTGCTTGGGCTCAGGAAAGCTAAACTCCATAGAGTCTGTCTTACCTCAGTGCTGTAAGAGAAAATAAATGGTAGAATTACCACTTATTGGGACTGTGGAAGAAACAAGTAATGCAAGCCCAGGGCCTGAAAAGCTACTGTTGTTTTGCTTATTTTTGACATTTGCTATTGAGTCAGCAGACAGGAAATAAACTGTGTGAATTAAATAGAATAAATAACTACATTTTCAGAATAATACACTGATCACCGACTTCATTGTTGAACAAAAGTTAGCCTTTAGATCTACACTGCAATGCATGTTGTTTTAACATTTGAAGAAAATCTGGATGAATTTCCAAAGGTATTATTGATACTGATTACACCTATAATCTAAAACAGTATTTTCTACTGAAATAGGAGTTTGTAACCGTTTTAACAAACCACTTATTCAAGCAGAGAGCAGCCACTTTCCAGAGATGTCACAGGCACATAAGTACCACTGTGTCAGATGAAATCTCTTTGCTGAGTGGCTAAAGGGGATTTCACCCTCTTCTTTCCTTTCTAAAATCCCCATAGGTGGCAGGCTGAAATCTGTTCTCAGCCTTCCAAAATGAGACTAAATCTTTCTGATTCTTAAAGATTCAGATCCAGGCCTTTTGGTGGAGCTAGATATTCAGGTTAAAAAAACCCTGCATGTTGCACACATACTTCCAATATTCATCCTTAATTTTCAAGCTGTGACTATATTTCTGTCTTCTCCTCTTTGAAGACTGTTTTGCCGGGTAATATTTCTTTTGATGGAGCAGACACTCAGACTTTTGTCTTCTGAAATAAACAGTATAATAAATAGCAGGACACACTACTCCCTCTTTTCTTCCCTTTCTGTTTGCTTGCATGCCGCAGAGATTTATTCACAATATTAGTGGGCAGAATTTTATCCATATTCTTTACTTCCCTTTTTCTTAAGAAAGAGTTGGAAACTGTTCCTTTTGTTCCTTGGTTATCTGGAACTAAACCAACCAGGTTTGTTTAACCTCCATTGTTTGTGTTAGAGCTGAAGGAGGAGAAATTAAGACTGAAAATGTGGATGTGAGAGCAGAAGTTGTTTTACACTGAATAAATTCAGTCACAGTATAAAGACCAATAGCTGAGAAAACCTACCTGTGCAGACTGTGTGCTTTTACAGAATTCATATCCTGTATTCTATATGTTGGATGTTAATATTAACATGAGCATAATACAGCATCACCTGTGGATGTACATGTTTTACACAAAAAGACTTCTGTGAGTCCTGCCTTTACTGTGAGCATGACACATTCTGGGAAGCAAACTTTATTACCACTTGTTCACATATCCGCATCTACTTTACTGTCTGGACTTATCTGCTGTAATCAGACCAAGAGTAGTCAAACAAACGTGGCCTTAACGTCAGCGAGGTGAGGCACAGGAATCTGAGAACTGACAGAACAGGATCCTCCCCTATGTATCCGTCTCAGTGCAGAAAGGCGTTGCCTTTTCCAGACAGATGGCTGATCTATTGGTCTGCAGAGCTAAAACATTTTCCCGTGTGCAAATATTTGCACTTGACCAGAACAAAAGAAAAGGCACCGTACCTTTGTGTACCATGGAGGTGAGAGACTGTGGGACACCTCAGCACTTAAAATGCAAAAGTAACTTGATCTTGCAGAATGAGACTGATATAATTTGGCTTGTTTCGTGTACTACACATGTTCTAGCCAAAAGCTGACACAGAGAAATTTCCAAATGCTGAGGTGTCCTCCGCAGGATCAGCCAAGTCATTGATCTGCTTCCTTTCGTTTGTTCCTTTTTTCAAATGGATGTACAGATCTACAGTATGATTCAGGTGGAAATTAATAGTCTGTGGCAATTCAAAAGACCAAAACCACCAATCAGAAGGGGAGGAACATTTACTTTTTCATCAGAAAATGTACAGAATTTGCAGTCTGTATATTTATTGCTTTTTTTTGATGTTCAGGGTTCTCATGTTCATCACTTGCCATCTTTGGTTGCTGCTGTGTATAGTAAAGTAACTGACCCACTAGTCAATAGAAGTGAATCTTTCAGCATGCTGTTTTCTCTTAGGAGGTATCAGTTATTTGCTGATCTCTTCAGAATAAGGTAAGACACACAACAACAACAGCTTCTCCTACCTTTCTATAATATGAAAGAACCCAAATACAGTGGAATCATTTTTTAGCACATGCTGTCATATCAAGCACTGCATTTTGACATTTCCCAGTAATTCCAGCTCCTTCTGTTCTTTAGTAGACATTCATCAAGTCACCCTTTGTACACATCTAAGTATGACTTGTGAGGAAAAGATACCATATGCAATAATTTTTTAAGGTTATAACACTCATGTGACAACACTCCTCATGGAGTGTTTTGGTGCTTAGACTTGGTCACTCCTTCAGGAAAGAACCTAAAAGTGCTTCAAAAAGACCCACTGTGTCTTCTGTTACCTTTCTGAGGTCTCACCCCTTACTGCTTTGCACACCCCAGCTACATATCCTCAAGTGTTTGTAAAAGGTTGGCACACATGAACACACCCTGTTATTTAGCGTTCAGCCAGCTGCAGAGAAACAAGTTCCCAGATACATACAAACTACTGGCTTCATTGCTTATGCTCACATACAGGGAAGAGGACAGGAACTGCAAGGAGAAGAAGTTACACCCTAAGGTGAGAGTTATTGTACAGGATGAAAAGAACAGGAGCCTTGCTCTGCTAAGCTTTGTTGTGGGTTTTTTTTTGCTTCAAGCCTACAAGCAGGTGTGTCTGTGATTTTAAACAGCTCTTGAGCACTTCTAACAGAGCACCATAAGAGTGGAACAAAAGTTCACATCTTCAAGACCTTCACTGCTTCACTTGGAAGACAACTCCACCTCCAACAGACCTTACTGTTATCAAGTACTTTCACATATATGTTCCCAGTAAGAAGGATTTTTACCCTAATTGAAAAAAATATTCCCTCATGG